AGAATCTTCGCCCGCCAAATTTCCTTCAGCCAAGGCCCATCCTCCCTCGTTACGATTCCCGAATCTGCACCACCGCTGATGGATGCAACCTTCGTCGTCTCCGTACGATTCTCGAGATCTAAACCATCACTGCTGGACGCAGTCCTCTTCTTCTTGCCTTTATCGAAACGCGAAAATTAGCCGAAACATACGAAAATGAATAAAAAAAACAAAACAAAAAATTCTTTTATACATTATATCGTCTGAAAAAAGAAAGGAAATATGTTTATGAAGCATTATATCTGTGAATGAAAAGGAGGAATAATTGAAAAAACAAGGATGATTTTCTAGACCTGTCGAATTTGCCTGTCGGACGAGAATATCAGTGAATGGTTATCGCCGTGTAAATGCTTGGGTACAATCAAATGGGTTCACACAAGTTGTTTCGAGCAATGGATGGATGTGGCCGCGAATCCAATGAAATATCGCTGCGCCATTTGCAGGTCCGTTCACCATTCCGATTTTTATGTGCTTTTTGTGCTGTGTAACAGCGGTACAAAACGTATATTGTCAAGGGGTTATCACCCCGTGTGTGTGTGTATGTGTGTGTGTGTCTGTATCGAGTTTTTATCGAGATCTACAAAAGCTACAAGGCTGAAACTTTGGCAACTTAATCTGCACATACCTACAGACCAATGTCCTCAGAATGGACGCTTCTCAATTGCGAACACGTGAAAGTTTTTCTGACGAAAAAGCATTTTCTGGGACGGCGTAAGCTGAAAGGCTGAAATTTTACGGAAAATGTACGGATGAACATGTGAAATATTCACGCAGCCACTTTTGTAATTGCAGAATTAAAGCAGCCAAAGCACTTGAACTTTCTGAGCATAACCGACGATGGCCTTTGACCAGATGGACGTAAAAACGATGTCTCACGTACGCACACGTAAAATTTGATATAACTCCGAAACCAAAACAGCCAGAGCGCTGGAATTTCCTGAGTGTGACCCAGGATTGTGTCGAGGAAGCGCACACGAAGACAGCATCCACGTTGTCACTCATGTACGAACACGCGGATTTTGGCGCAGCCTCAGAACCGAAGCATCTAGAGTGTCGATTTTTTTGAACACGGATTGGGAGTCACTGCAATAATTCATGAAATTCGTGATGGCCATCACTGAATTCTCTTAGCTGAAAGCATCTGCTGAAAAAAAAAAAAAAAAACAGTGCAGTTAGCGACAAAACCTGCGGAGGAACTGTGCAAAAAATGAATCTTTGCACTGGTAGCTGGTGCGTTGTCGATTGAATTCGTGGAAAATACAACACATGGGCATGTGTTAACTCGGCTCCACTCGGTCGCGTAATATTTCACTCATTTTGGGCCCTTCTTGGGTTCGGAGGATCCTAGCTCTTATCCTGTCAATAACTCCTTCCCTTCCCCTTCGTCACAACCCGCGAGATTTAAACCACCACTCCCGGCCCTCGTTCACTGCCTTTTCCCTCCATCTTTGCCGCTCTACTCGTTACCGACAAAACTCACCCCCTACTCGGACGAGCCGAGCCGAACAAGTTTGAGTAGTTGCCAGCATATCCGCTTACACTTCTGTCGCTTCACAGGGATAATCCCAACGGTTGCAAGGATTTTGGTTACGACGGACAGATTTAAGTCAACAAAATATGGCGTATTTTCATTTCTGCAGAAGTTCTTGTTTAGCGCAGTAGCTCCAGGAGGCCTTGGCGGATCCAGGAGGGGAAGTAGT